ATATTGATAACCGTCTGCTTCATCTGCCAATATTTAATATATTTTCTGATAAATACCTATATATTATATTATATTATATTATATTATATTATATTATATTATATTATATTATATTAATTTAAAACATTTTAAAATCTTAAAATTAATTAAGGTAAAATACTTCTCATATTAAAACTCAATAATTCAAATATTTTAATTCTGCATTTGGCAATAGCTAAGGATTTAATTTTATATACATTTTCCAGTTTCAACAAAAATGTTAACTTTTATTGATGTTTTACAATTACTTTACAGAAAAATTTAGTCTCTTAATCTTGGATAGCTAAATCTCACAATTTTATCGTGAGCACTAAGATTTCCTCTTAAAATAACTACATGCCATCTGAAATGATATAAATGAACAGGCAATTAAAACTGAATAATAGATTATGAAATGAAATTTTAGGTCTCTTTACAGTTTCAAACATTAGAATCCACTGTGGCTTCCATAAAGCAAACAGCCATTAAATATCTTTTTTGCCTCAAGAGAAATTTAATTTTATCAGCTGAGAAGGCTACAAGACTTTCACATTTAGATTAGGCAATAGATATTAATCCTTTTACATTTTCTATTTTACAGTGCTGCAATTAATGGACAGTAATGTGGTATGGTGCAGCAATACTTTATCTCTACATTAACTCAACAATTCATCACATATAAAAGTTACAATGTGAAAATAACATCAGTACTTCAAAGGTTTTTAACAGTGCCTAATAGTTTTTCTATAATGTATAAACTTTCTATCACAATATATGGCCCCCAGTTGAAATTATTTATTAGTTAAGAAGATGCTTCATATTTTGAGACTTAGCCAGAGAGCTTTAACATGTTTTTCCACCAAACTCCTGGAAATGCTCTAGTATGAAAAACATTCTTACTGCTGCTTTGAGTTCATCACTGGGGGGGGAAAAAATCACCCAAACGTCCACTTAGAATGCCAGTGACATCTCCAACTTTCAAGAGCTGAATCTGTTCTAGATTTTAGCCCAAGAGTCTTGTTAGCTTGTTTTATTTTTGCACTGTATTTTTCAGATTTTACGATATAGCTATACAACATGGTTTTTATACATACATTCATTTATTTTTATTTCTCATTTGTTAATTTAAGTTCTGTGAATAGGCTTTACCTTGCAACTTTATTAATAATTTTTTCAGTTCATAATACTCATTGGGTAAAGAAGATGATTGGTACAAAAGCTAATGCCACATTTGCATGAGTAATTTCAGAAAGACTTTCAAAATTGCTCTCTTTCTGAAATGCATAGTACTAGATGTGACAAGTACAGCTGTGCTTGTGTAAGTCATCATGATTTATTTATTATTAGTGCTCATATGCCTTTCCAAACAACACAACGGGAAAAAAACCTAGTGGTTTATTGTTTTAGTTGCAGTTTGCAGTCTTTTCAACTGATGGCTTATGATCTCTACTCTTCTCTATAACAGCTTGGCATATAGACTAAAGAGTAAAACATATTAAATACCTAGTCCAAAGTTGTTTTCAAGGTGAAAAACTGAATATGGAGGAACTGTTAAGATTCCACCCCCTCCGCCCCATACCAATCCTATAGTATCTTAATAATTATTTGCTGTTATTTGCTACATTAGCATACTGATATAACACCATCCTATGACAGGGCATTACTTCTCCCACCCAGTGGCTTCATTAAGCAATGTGGTCATGGAATTGTGGGGTCCTTGGGTTTCTCTGAGCTTGGTTGTTTTCTTGCAAACGTCTCGTTACCCAGCTTCAGTGCTGAAAATGTTACCTAGCCTGGTAATGAAATGTTTGCAAGAAAACAACCAAGCTCAGAGAATCCCAAGGACTCCACAGTTCAACCCTGAGCTACACATATTCGCCTCTATTGGTCATGGAATTATCAAGACAAATGCACAACTAACTATCAATATTTGTACTGCAAGTTGTAACCTGAGAATAATAGGATGGAACTGTCATAACTTTACTTACCATTCTACCTTATGTTAACTCTAATCTCTACCGTAAAGAGTGCTGTGGCAAACTAATGGCTGTGATATTGACACCTCCAGTTAAAATGAGTGTCATGGAGTCAAAAGCAAAGAAAAATTTCTGCTTAAAAGTTTGGAGACATGCTGCCAAACAGAGAATATGGAGTTCATGGACAAATAGTCAGAGCTCCTTACAAGATAATGTCATATATTAATTGTAGCTAGAATATATAACAATGGGATAATACTTCTCCTCTCACTTATAAAATGTGTTGTATAATCCTTTAAAGAAAGTATTACAGCAACGAAAAGTGGGAAATCTCAGCACATTATACAATATAATTGAAAATGGGTTCATCCTGAAAATATCTGAGTGAATGTATTGCATCTGATAATGAGTCTAAATGGAAAATGGAAAAAAAAAAACCCTTCCTTACTGTAATTCCTTAGGCAAAGGTAATTATTGTTAAATATAGGTAGATTGTATATTGTTTTACAGCAACTCAAAGAACAGATACAAAAATATATAAAAGCAGACTACAGGTTACTTAACAATTGTAATTTTGTTATAAATATTTCTTGTTATTATATGCATGAGTGTCTGTTTTTCTACATTAGTTACGGTGTCATCTCATTGTGTTTGACTCCTGCATGAACAAATGGTTGACATTTTGAGTAGTAATATTTTAGAGTATTTCCAAGGACAAGTCTAATCTCTCTTACTCCTTCCAATATCCAGCTGTCACCACCATACAATACCACTAAAAATTGCTTGAATTATTCTGATCTTTGGCATCATAGAAGCATCCTTCTCCTTCATGGTCTTCTGTTAGTTCTGCCTTCCTCCTAGGATTCATCTGCTATTTACATGGTTTACATAACCTTTGTCTTCAAGATATTTAAGACTAGCTCAGTTTTTTTCACTTTCTTTTTCCTTTACCTCTAATAAACTCTTTTAAGTTTTCATTATTTTGAGCTCATATAATGACATTATTGCATATCTCATATTACTATTGTTTCAGCCTGCAACCATCATTTAAGGTACCATCTCTTCCAATACTGCAGAATCAGTATTGAAAAGAATCAGGTGTTCTGGGATACCCATTGTCCCTAATATATTTAGTATGACCTATGCAATCAAAGGTGTTATTGAATGCAAAGATAAATTCCTTTGATATATTTTCTCTCCATTATCCATCTTAAAATTAGCTAACTGATCTCCTTTCCTTCTGCTTTTCCAAAACTGCCTCTTCATTTGGCATTTCCTTCTGTAACTATGGTTCTATTCTTCATGAGGGGTTCTTAAGTGAAAATTTGCCTTCATGAGGATTTTTGGTTTTCTCATGTCTTCGAGTCAGTGTTGACTCCTGGTGACTGCCTGGATTAGTCCTTGCAAAATTGGCAAGATTTGGGAAGTGGTTTGCCCTTGCCTGCTTCCTAGGGCTGACAGAGAGTGTCTGGGCCAAGGTCACCCAGCTGGCTTCATATCTAAGGCCGGACTAGAACTCATGGTCTTCTGCTTTCTAGCCCAATACACCAAATTGTCTTTAAATTGGGGAATCATGAGGAATTATTGGAATGTAAATCAGAGGTGTGTGAAATATTCAAGTGAAACTTTTATATATGAGATAGCTGTATCCCATGCCAGCAAATAGTCTTCTAAATCTTATGATTGAATGTTTGTTTTGTGACTTGTGATTAAGTTATTGTTTTGTTTTATGTCCATCCTAGCCAGTACAGGAGCAGGGACTGGTCCTGTCTCTGTTACCACTGTCTTAGACTGGGTGGAATGATATTGCGTATGGGTATGTGTGTGGGGGGGAAGTGCTGGGACAAAGCAGCAACTCTTAAACACTTGGCTAGGGTTTTAAAACACTCTAGATTGCTCTGCTGTTTGTTTGGAGAAAAGAAGAATATTGGTTGGAATCACATGCCTGCCTTCCTGCCTGGTAGGTAAGTTGTCACTTTCTTTTTTTAAACCTTTGCAATTTATTGTTCATGGGAGATATGCCAGGTGAATAAACGTAAAAGGCAGAAGAGGAATGCAAAGATGTGCCGTTCCTGCTGATATATGTTCTAAATGCAAAAATTACTACTAGCACTATTTTAATGGCTGGGTCAGAGCTTGGGGCATGCCTTTTGTTTCCTATTGATGATTTTAAAAATGTTTTGCTGATTTGTAAAGCCTGGGGTAGTAATTTACTTATTTTTCTTGCTGTTTTAATATTAGTATTATTATTTAGACAAGACTAAAGCAGCAGCTTTAGCTCCTTCCTTCCTTCCTTCCTTCCT